CTGCTGGTGCTTCCCGCCCTGCTCCTGCGCTTTTCCCCTCTCCATCCCCGCCGGGGAGCTCTGGGCGCAGCGGAGGCGCCGTCCCCGTGTCCCTGTGCTCAGCAGGTGACAAGCAGGTAGCGCAGGAGCACGGCAGAGCGCACCCGGAGCAGCAGCAGCGCCCAAGACGAGGTGGGTGAGCGGCAGAACGAGGGCGGCACCGGGACAGGGCAAACGGTGCGAGGACGAGCGCGGCAGCAGGGTGAAGCTCCTTACACACAGCGCTGGCTCTGCGGGACACCTCCTGCTGCATCTTCGTGTATTTGGGCCGCTCTTATCTCGTCTCACACCGGAAAGGCTCCACCCTTCTGTTTCCGATAGAATTGGAACAGCAACGACCTCCCTGCTGCAAAAATCAGCGAGCAAAACCAAAGCTGCCAGCTCCGCTTCCAGGAGGAAACCTCGAGAGGGCCCTTGGTGCCTGCAGACCTGGGGTGGAAATAGGGCAGCAAAGGCAGGAGAACCTCCCCGAATCCATGAACACCCCTTCAAATCCACATCCCCTGTTCCTCTTCACACACATGAACAAACGCCTCAGGAACCCACCTTGGCAGAGGCCTCCTAGCCACAGGCTCCAGGTCCCTCCTCGGTTTCTTTCACCCCGGACTCCTGCTCTCAGCCTTTGGCTGCAGCCCTCCATACGTCTGGTTTCTTCATTCCCGCGTGAACCTGGACACCGAGAGAGCAGGAGACTGGGAACCAGCGATCCCGCAACCGGATAGAGCTCGGCCAAACCACAGGCTACAGGAGACACCTCAGGGCCATTCACCACAGCAGCAGGGGAGGGTGAAACCTGCATGGAGGCAGGAGATTCCCCGAGGGGATTCGCTGAAGCACCAGGAAACCCCCAGACCTGCAGGGCTTAAAACGCCTCAGGGTTTTCAGAGAGACGCGAGTTTCCCCACGGGGTTTTCCTCTTGGGTGGCTCCCTAGGAGCTGAAGGGTAGCTGTGAAAGGGGAGGAAGGCAGCGGGCCGGTCATTGAAGCGGCCCGAGGAGGAGCCGGGGGCGCCGGGACAGACCGGGGGGTCCGCGAGGCCGCCCGGCCCCTCGGGGCGGGGGCGCGAACTACCGCTCCCAGCATGCCCCGCGGGGGCGAGACCACAGCGGTTACGGAATTGGGGGTACGGGTTGGCCTTAAGGGCGTTGGTTTAACACGCTGCTCCCCGAGACCGCCTGGCTCCTTATCCCCTCGCCTGTAATTCCGTTCTGCCTCGTCCCGGTGTCCGCCAGGCGCGACAAAGAGCGCGGAACAAGCGCTACCCCCGTGAGCCCGGCTAATGGGTGCGCCGAACCCGGCGGCATGCGCCGCGGGCTC